GGTATATATCAGTGTGGAGATAACCTCGTATCTCGTTATCTCCACACTGATATATACCTGCCTCTGGAGATTTCCATTACTTGCATCTGAAGAAGTGAGGTTCTTACCCACGAAAGCTTATGCTCCCAGTACTTCTGTTAGTCTCAAAGGTGCCACAGGACCCTCTGTTGCTTTTTACAACTCATAATAACCTCTAATGGGCTAATAATTTCTGCAGCAACAACCAATAACAATTCATTATTTTTTATTTCCAAAATATTTCTAGTTATGACAATAAAACTTACATGTTAGAGGCACCCAAAACCAACGTCAGTTACCTAAACATTTTTTTCTCTTTTTACAGTACATTTATTTTTTAATTTTATTTTTCCATTTTAATTAGAAAAACTGCAAGCATGCAGCTATTTGGCCATGCCTCTCAGGGTCATAAAACTATTTTTAGCTGTGTGATGTTTGGGTTTCAGCTGGCAGTGGTTGAACATACAAAATGACTGATTTCAGTGCTGTCAAATGGTGAGGTACATGAAGGTATGTCAAATACAGGGGCTTCAGGCTAACAGGCTAGTGTGTGTGTACTGTGTCTTTGGGGATAGTAGACTTAATAATTTCTGTGAGGCTTGCATTCCTTCCCCCTCATTGTTAATATTAATTGTGTTGAGTATCTGGTCACCATTAACCTTTTCAGTGAAGATTAAAGCAAGATAGGCACTAAACACCTTAGCCTTCTTGATATCATATCTTATTAGCTCTTCTTTGCACTAAGAAAAGGACCTGTACTTTACTTCATCTTTCTCTTGCTCACTAATGCATTTAGAGAACTTCTTCTTATTGCCTTTTACATCCCTTGCTAGGTGTAACTCATATTGTGCTTTAGCCTCTCTGATTTAGTCCCGACTTGCTGGTGCTATGATTTTATGCTCATCCTTAGCAAGTTCTTCACTTTCCACTTTCTGTAGGATTCCATTTTGATTTTCAGTCATTAAAGAGCTCCCGTGGAGCCATATTGGTCTCTTGCGATTCTTTCTGTCTTTCCTTCACATCAGGATAGTTTCCAGTTGTGTTTTTAATACTGAGAAACTCTCAGGTCTCCTGACCTCCTTTTTTCCCTAAGATTTTCTTCCCATGGTACCTTATCTACCAGTTCACTATGTTTGTTAAAGTCTGGGTTTTTTTGAAGTCCATTTTCCTCATTCTGCTTCATTCACTCCTTCCTTTCCTTAGAATCATGAAAGCTATCGTTTCATGGTCACTTCCCCCCAAGTTGCCTTCCACCTTCAGATTCAGTAACAATTCCTCCCTCTTGGTCAGAATCTAGTCTCATATGTTGGTCAGCCTAGTTTACGTCCTCTACTTTTATGGAACAAAAGGTTTTCCCCAACACATTCCAAGAACTGATTGAACATTTAGTGTTTTGCCTTATTACTTTTCCAACACATGTCTGGGTAAATAAAGTCCCCGTTACTGCCAGGTCTGGTGTTTTGAATATTTCTGTTTGTTGTAGAAATGCCTCATCCACTCCTTCTCCTGATTGGGTGATCTATAGTTGACCCCTACCATTACATCACCCCTATTATTCCTGGCTTTGATCTTTGCCCAGAGACTTTCAGCTGGTCTGCCTCTCACCGCTTTCTGGGGCTCCGACCCTCAAACTTACCCAAGGTCAGCCAGCAGCATAGCTGGGGATAGTCCCAGTCTAGTGGTTTTTCCAGTAGGCCACAAGATTGCTATGTGATTCCTCAGTGCTCCTCCCCGTCCTGTACATTTTGTTACAATGTAATGGGGATAATGGTGGTTGTGTAGTTGCTACTGGGGCCTGCAAAGGAGTAGGGCTCCCCTAGATTGCAGCACACACATGGAAGAGGAGAATTCATGGCTGATGTGCCTTACCTCAACCCCCCCCAACTTTTTCTGCTACCCTTCCTTGTTTGCAATCCCTCCTGTCTTCTCCCCTCCTCCTCTTCCAATCCTCACTCTCTTCCCCTTGCCTGACCCCCCCCCGCCCCCCAACTTCTTCTTTCCCCTACCATCCATTCCCATTTGTTTCCCTCCCCATAATAAACACATCCCTGGCTGTGAACCCTAACATTTTCCCCTGTTACCACCTAGTCTTGCACCCCATATCACCCTTCCCCTCCCAGTCAGCATTCACATTTGGAAGTTGTTTTCTTTTCAAAAGCAGTTTCAGCACATTCTGAATATTTTGATGCACTCGGATTACATTTGCACCAAACAAAATCCCCGCATGAGAGAGACAAATGGGAGCAATAAACCTGCTTTTTTAACATCACTTTTCTTTTCTGACTGGAGTTGCACTCACAGTGCCAGGGGTGGGGGTGCCTAGCTGTAAGGACCACAATTTACCCTCAAAGCCACCCACATCTCATTGTGGATTGGCAGGTTTCCAGATAGCTATTCTCCTTCACTGCACATGCTCAGAGTAGTCCATTAGGCATGTGTGTAGGCGCACAAGCCTTCGCAAGCACCTAACTGAAGAAGCAGGCTCTTTTTGAAATAACATTTTAATTTCATTTCTCCCAAGGGCTGGTGGAGGCCATGTACTCTGTTGGGGGTAACCCTCGAGTGTCTGAGACCCTGGTGCAATGATCTGAGCCTTGGTTCGATCTCTATCTGTGAGCAAAAATAAAATGCCAGAATCTGTCAACTTTAAGATAAGCTGTTGTTTTTTTCTGGGAGCTGTATCTCGGAAACCCCTTGGAGAAATGGCCCCAAATTTTGATTAGTAATATAACCCTGTGCTCCTATGTGAAATACCATATTCCAATCCAATCCGATCAATCAGGCAGACATTAGAGCACTTAGAAAAATTTAGCTTTGAAGGAAAGCTGGCCTCAACCTTAACTGTTGCAGAGCTGTCACTGAGCTATAATATTACCACTGTGTATTTTGTCCCCAGTCAGACCCCTGAGTGCAACTGTTCTGATTCAGTAACCTAGGACTCAGCATCCATGACACATGAGAACCCCAGTTTCGTCACATGACATTTGTGTGATATCCTGGGGACAGCTGTTCCTGACTCCTGACCAGCTCTTTGGAACCACGAAAGAAGAGATTGGCCCCATCCCAAGACTGTCTGTCCCAGGCGTGACCCTGAGCCCAGAGTGGTACATGCTGGGGCGGAGTTTGGTGGGTGCTGTTTGACCCCCTCACAAAGGACAGACATGGGCAATAATGCCTGCACTGTAAGAACCTGATTATCACACCTGAACATCCTGATTTACAAAGTGTCTGGTAAACTGGAAAATAATTATTAGTTAATTATCCCAAGTCACTGGGGTTCCTTTGTCACATCTCTGTAGACAATTGTGCAAGAGAAATGTCTCTCTGATCTCCCTTCTCCTTGTTCTCAGGATATGCTGGGTACAGGCTGGCAAACGGCAGCACAAGGTGTTCGGGGAGAGTGGAGCTTCGCCACGGAGGCGCCTGGGGAACCCTCTGTGACTCCCAGTGGGATTTACAGGCTGCCCACACCGTCTGCCAGCATTTTGACTGTGGATTTGCTCTGTCGATGCCAGCAGGGCAGCTCTTTGGCACAGGAGACGGGCCTGTCTGGAACGGCACATTTGGCTGTGAGAGGAACGATTCCCGCCTGAGGGACTGTCCTGTTACTGCACTGGGCACAACTGAGTGTCCACCTGGGAGTGAAGCCAGCGTGGTGTGTTCAGGTGAGCAGCTGCAGTGGGAAAGAAAAGAACTGGGGATTGGGGAACATCCTCAGCCAGATCTTCACAGTGTGTCAATCGGCCAAGTGCCACTGGGCTCAGTGAGGCTATGTTGATTTACACCAGGTGGGGACCTGGCCCATAAATTGGCGCCTTGTCCCTGCACCAGCCAAGTCTGCTGGAACTGATCCCTCTGTGAAATGCTTGTGGTGCTTTGAGTATGGACTGTACCAAGGCAACCAAATTCTGGTCCCTTGTCCTCCCTTCGCACTAAGTAAGATGGATCAAGTATCAGTTTGTGAATGTGCTGGTATGGAATAGCCCCACAGCCCCCACAGAGTAACTGCTATTATTGAACATGAGTAACAATCCCTTCCTGTTCCCCACTCCCCTCCCTGTCGTTGCCATTAACACTGATCACTGCATCACCTCGACACTCACTTTCCCTTGTGCTCAGGGTGCCCGGGTGGCAGGTTAGTGAACGGCACCGAGTGCTCCGGGAGAGTGGAGATCCGACATGGAGACACATGGGGAAGCCTCTGTGCCTCCCACTGGGATTTGCAAGATGCCAATGTCCTCTGCCATCAGCTGAACTGTGGATACGCCGAGTCAATCCAGGGAGGAGCCCATTTCGGGGAAGGGAACGGAACCGTATGGAGCGACGCTTTTCATTGTGAAGGGACTGAAACTTGTCTGTGGGATTGTTCTCACGTGGCCCTGGGCAACCCAACCTGCTCCCCCCGAGACACGGCCAGGGTCATTTGCTCAGGTAAGGTAATACTGACGTGTATATGTTAGTTACAGTGCAGTGTACTGCCCAGATTAGGATCATCGCAAGTAGTCCCATTGACTACTGTACTCAAGGTAAGTAGGGGTATCAGAATGTTGCTCTCTTTGTTTAAGTTCCCCAGATCAGAGACTCCTACGGGTGCAGTGAAGGGTGGCAAAGTGGATGCCAGCACTACGCTAGCGTGAACCATAGAGAATGGCTCTGTGCGATAAACCTGGGGTTTGTGATTCACAGATTCCCTAAGTCCCAGCAGGGCTGACTCAGCCCTTCATCAGTTTGATGTTGGTGTTGCAGAAACAACCTATACGCAGAGATCTCATCCAAGCTGTGGGGCCATTACAATCCCATTTCACTCTCTGGAAAAGTAGGTGTTTGCCCTGGTGTTCCTGGCCAAAATGTCCCCCCCTTACTCATCCCGGTTGTGTGCTGGTGGGCTGCAGCCCTCAGCTGCAGAGCTTGCTCAGTGTGTGTGTGTTTATAGATCATTAATACCCCACAACACTTCATAGAAATAGTCATTGCTTTGCGAAAGATCCTGGTTTTCAGGAAAAATGTTCAGATGGATCCAGAGCCAGTTGGGAACTTTCACAAAGATCCTGCTCTTAGTGAGCAGCTGGTGCTTTGATGAAGATCCTCCTCTACAATGCAACACAAATACTGCAGGGGTCCTTTTTCCTGCAGGTTTCTCCAAAGATTTTCCCTCATCCAAATTCAAAAACTTCCTTTTGTCACATCAGAGATCAACACTGGCTGATAGATGGCAAGTTATCTGAGGACTACCCATAGTGGCATAGGCCCAGATTTTTAAAGGTATGTAGGCATTGCGGCACTGATTTAGGAGCCTAACTCTCATTTTCTAAAAGGATTTAGGCACTGACCAGCCTTAATCAATGGGATCCATAGGCTTCACATCCCTGAGCATTGTAGCTGTGCCAGTCTAACCCCCAGTGTAGACAACAATAGAAAAATTCTTCCATTGACCTAGCTAGCACCACTCAGAGAGGTGGGTTACCTACAGCAATAGTAAAACCCCTTCTGTCACTGAAGGAAGCATCTACACTACAGCAGCATAGCTACAGTGATGTTCTGTGTCACAGTAGCGCCCATAGTGTAGACATGGCCTTAGTAAAACAAACATTTAATGCACACAGAAAGCATTGTAAATAGTATTTGGAATACTATGAATAACTTTTAAACAAAAGCTATTAAACAGTAAATCTACGGGTTCTCCTTATACAGACTTTCCCCCTTTTGTTTCTGTTACAACATTACATGTTCTATACTTCAATACACACCTCAAAACACATTCCCCACTAATCTTCTCTTAGAGATGATTTCTCAGGCTTTGCAGTGTGCCTGTAACATGTAGTGTGTCTTCAGATCTTGAGAAATGGCAGTACCTCAGTCGTTTCAAACACTTCAGAACTCCGTGAGGAATGAAACAGTCTGTGGCTCTCAGCAGCTAACATCATTCCAGCCCTAGGCTTAGGTCAAGGGTTGACTGAGTCTCTCAGTTCCCGGTGAAACAGAAATCTGTAGCCTGTATTCAAAATGACAGGTTACAAAGTAGCAGCTGTGTTAGTCTGTATCCGCAAAAAGAACAGGAGTACTTGTGGCACCTTAGAGACTAACAAATTTATTTAACAAATTTTATTTAACAAATACATGTGTTAGTCTCTAAGGTGCCACAAGTACTCCTGTTCTTTTTGTGTATTCAAAATGATACCAGGATTGGAAGCAGCCTCTACAATATCTGTCCCCTGGATCTCTGTAAGGCTCTCACTGTCTTCTCCCCATAAGCCCAGCTAAGTCAGGCAAGAATTCACAAATCCTCACCTCACTAAGTGCTGCCCCATTCTCTCTCTTTAACTGATACAGAGTCCCAGTTTAGAACAGTCAGCTGATAGCTAAATATAAACTCCATAGGCTCTGTGGTCTCCACAGTAACAAATACTGCCCTGCAGCTCTCCCTCTAGGGCCATAGAACACATTATGCTGCACCAAACATTATCCCAGTGGAGGGCTGTCCTAGAAAATAAAGCTGGCATAGCACTGCCCTGTATCCACGGTGGTACAGGGGTTGGGACCAGCTCTCACAACAGACACATCTCTCAGTGTTGCATCTGTTAGAGGGCTTATTCCTTCACCCTCCCACTTCCCTGGTCCTTCTCGCGTGAACAGAGAGCAACAATACCCAAAGTCTGAAGGTGCAAACAATTTGATGTTTATTGGAGTGAACTTCCAGCAAACTTAAATCCTAATTGGCCAAGGACAAGATAGGGGCCCTTCCATTTAAGAGCTGGGAATGGATGGTGTTGACCTGGAACCTTGTACATCACTAGATCTCCCACCGTGGGTAGATCACACTCCCCGGGCAGGTCATACCATGCTTTGGCTCTAGCTCACTTTTAATGGTGTGGTTCATGCGTTCCACCTGCCCTGCAGCCTATGGGTGATAAGCAATATGGAACAATTGTGTGATTCCAGTGAGGGCTGATAGCTCCCCTAACAGATCTGACTGGAAAGCAGCTCCTTGGTCTGAGTCAATCACCTTTGGGACCCCTCAGCAGGGAGAATACCTCATTTACCAGTATTTCACCAGTTACTCGGGCAGTTTGATACTTTGTGGGGAAAGCTTCCACCCACCTGCTGAAAGCATCTACTACCACCAACATGAATCATTTTTTTCTGTGATCTGGTGGTAGGGGTCCTGTGTAGTCAATTTGTATTCTTTCCCAAGGTCCCCTTGGGGCTTGTCTCATTAATTCTCCCCTTAGCACCTTGTGAGGTGGGTTGTGCCAGGCACAGTCCAAACCATGTTCCAGGTGTGATTTTAAATCAGCTGCCATTCCTGGCCACAAGCACGACCTTTTTAAAGTTCCCAGTGCCTCCTCAAACCCGGGCTGTCCCCCTGACAAGCTCCCATGCACCCAGCTTAAGAAAGCCGTCCGGATTCCCTGGGTGCACAGCATTATTGGTCCCTCAGCTGTTAAGACACACCAAATCCCTTCCATTAATTCCTCCTTTGGCACATGCCTGTCCCCAAGTTTCATGATGCCTTCCAGTCCTGGGTCAGATTCTTGCAACTCTCGAATTCGCCCTCCCTGATCTGTATCCATCCCACTTCTTGTTATCACTGCTACAGGCACACTCTCTTCTGGCTCCCAGGGCCATGAGGGTGCCTCTGTTGCAGCCGCTTGGCCTCTGCATCTGCCAGATTATTCCCTTTGCTTGGGGGTCCTGTTTTCTTGTGTGTCTTTACCTTTGCCACATTGATCTGTGTAAAACAGTGACCGAGCTCCTCCATTCGCTTCCACCACTCGTTTCTCCACACGGTTAGCATGCTTGATTGTGAAGCCATCTGTTGCCCTGAAATGATTATCCGCCCACCGTCTCAGCATTAATGTGACCCCACAAAATGCATAATCTGAAGCTACCACCAGCCAACATTCTGGCTCAACTTTGGAATACACTTCATTTAAAGCCTTAGCAAGGCTGCCAATTTTGCCTCCTGAGCTGACCTTGCATCTAGTGAGAAACCAATGGTGCTGTATCATTTCCTCTGATTACCATGACAGCTAAGCCTGCAGTTTTCTGTCCCCGCGATACATACAGCTTCCATCCAAAAACCATACTAGTGTCCCCTCCTTTACCTGATTGGGTTAGCTGCTCGAAACACCCGATGTTCGATTTTACCTGGGCTGGCTTCACATTGGTGTGGGGTCACTGAGTTGCCATCCAGATGTAATCCGGCTACCCAGACTATGGCTTCCTTTAATACTTCTGCTTTAATGTTTTCTACTTGTAGCGCCAGCAATGATTTGGCAATACGCTGCCCACTCACTTGTCCCTGTGAGATAGTATGCATGTTTAACAGCCGCAGGGGATCATGATGAGATCAGACTATTTCTTTCTGCATTCCCGGGAGGTATTTGAATTTCCCTACCCGCCCAGTAGGTGCACAACAGCACCTTTTCACACCATCCATACTTCAGTTCCACAGCACTCAAAAGTTGAGAGGCAAAGGCCACAGGTTGGTCCTTTGCTCCATACTTCTGTGTTAATGCACAACCAATGGTAGTGTCAGATACCAAAGGGTACAGATAAAAGAGTTTCTCCCCATCCGGGGAGGCCAGCACTGGAGCACTGGCCAGGTTTTCCTTTAGTACTCTCACTGCCTCAGTACACTCTTCTGACCATTTCCAAGTTGAGGCTCAGGTTAGGTCAAATAGAGGCTGGGCTATTTCTGCATAATTGGCCACAAAATCCCTGCAAAATCCAGTTAGACCCAGAAAACTTTGCAAGCTTTTAACATCCGTAGGCAGTGGCAGGGACTGGATCAGCTGCACCTGTCCCTTATCGATTTCCCTTCCCATCTGGGACACTTACACTCCTAAGTAGGTCACTCTTGTCTGTCCCATCTGAGCCTTTTTCCCATTGACCTTCAACCCTGCTCTTGCCAAAGCTTGCAGGACCTTCTCGGTTAGTTCCCTGTCTTCCTCCTCTGACTCTGACATTAGCAACAGGTCGTCTACATATTGTACTCACCTTGCTGAATCCACCCCCTCCGAGCCTGTCTAATGTATCTGTGAAAAATTGCAGGGGAGTCCCGATATCCCTGGGGTAGGACTGTCCAGCAGAATTGTCTGCCCTCCCATGTGAATGCAGTTTTATACTGACACGAGGTAGCTAGTGGCAGAGACCAAAACCCATTAGCTATGTCCAAAACAGTGAAAATTCGGAATTGGGGTCTAATACGGGCTAGCATTTCAGGGTACGCTGCCACTACTGAGGCTGGTGAATTGGCCAGAACATTTAGTGCCCTATAATCCACAGTGAGGCGCCAGATGCCGTTTGGCTTTCTCACTGGCCACACAGCAGCATTACAAGGGGATGCAACCACTCTAATCAATCCCCTCTGTTCCATTTCCCCAATAGTTACCCCCACCTCTGCCGATGCCTCCTGAGGAATAGGATAT